AGAGGCAGAAGAGATTAAGAAGAGGTGGCAAGATTACACAGAAGAACGATACAAGAAAGAGCTTAACGTCCCTGATAACCACGATGGGGTGCTCAGTGACCTCGAGCCAGACATCCTGGAATGTGAAGTCAAATGGGCCTTAGAAAGTCTGAGCAACAACAAAGCTAGTGGAGGTGACAGTATTCCAGCTGAGCTATTCAAAAACTTAAAAGACGATGCAGTAAAAGTGCTACACTCAATATGCCAGCAAATTTGGAAAACTCAGCAGTGGCCACAGGACTGGAACAGGTCAGTTTACATTCCGATCCCAAAGAATGGCAATGCCAAATAATGTTCAAACTACCGCACCATTGCTTTCATTTCACATGCTAGCAAAGTTATGCTCAAAATCCTACAAGCTAGGCTCCAGCAGTATGTGGACCAAGAACTACCAGAAGTACAGGCAGGATTTCGAAGAGGAACAACACACGCTGGATCATGGAGAAAGCTAGCTAGTTCCAGAAAAACATCTACTTCTGCTTCATTGACTATGCTAAAGTCTTTGATTGTGTGGATCACAACACAATGTGGCAAGTTCTTAAAGAGATAGGAGTACCAGACCATCTTAATTGTCTCTTGAGAAACCTATATGCGGGTCAAGAAGCAGCAGTGAGAAATGGACACGGAACCACTGATTGGTTCAAAATTGAATAAGGAGTTTGGCAAGGCTGTATACTGTCACCCTGCCTATTTAACTGATATGCGGAGCACATTATGAGAAAGGCGGGGCTAGATGAATCACCAGTCCCAGATTGCTGGGAGAAATATCAACAACCTCAGATATGCAGATGATACCATTCTAATGGCAGAAATTGAAGAGGAACTAAAGAGCCTCTTGATGCAGGTGAAGGAGGAGAGTGCAAAAGAAATTAAAAGATGCTTCCTCCTGGGGAGGAAAGCTATGGCAAATCTGGACAGCATACTAAAAAGCAGAGACATCACTCTTCCAACAAATGTGCGTATAGTCAAGGCTATGGTTTTCCCAGTTGCAATGTATGGCTGTGAAAACTGGACCATAAGGAAGGCTGAGCACCAAAGAATTGAGGCCTTTGAATTGTGGTGCTAGAGAAGACTCCTACGATTCCCTTGGGCTGCAAGGTGATCATAACAGCCAGTGCTAGAGGAGATCAACCCTGACTGCTCTTCAGAAGGCCAGGTACTGAAGATGATACTCAAATACTTTGGCCACCTAATGAGAAGGAAGGACTCCCTGGAGAAGAGCCTATTGCTGGGAACAATAGATGGCAAAAGAAGAAGGGGATGGCAGAGGATGAGGTGGCTAGATGGAGTCACTGAAGCAGTTGGCGTGAGCTGAAGTGGACTCCTGGGGATGGTGGAGGACAGGAGGGCGTGGAGGAATGTTTTCCATGGGATCGTGATGGGTCAGACACGACTTTGCGACTAACAACAACATCTCTGGAATGGCCCACTAAAAGCCCAGACCTCATTGCAATTGATAATCTGTAGCAGGATTTAAAAGCTGTTGTTCTCTATTGGTCCCCATCCAATGTGGCAGAGATGGAGCAGTTGTGTTAGAAGTAATGAGCAAATTTTGTAGGATTTGGAAGAACACAAGGGGTCTGGCCTTGATGCACACACCCAATCAAGCATGGCAAGGGGTGAGAGGATAAAAATGGTTTTTATTCTTGAGGATAAGTTCGATCACAAACGAAAGGGTAATCAACTTGGGACACATGGTCCAGTTCCCTTTTATACTTTCACTGACCAGGTAGCAATAACAGTCCCTGGTTATCAACACCACCTCCTGGGAGACCCTGGCACAAGACTGATCGACATGGCGCATGCTGATACACCAAGGCTGCCAAACATCTGAAGCCAGAAGGACAACCATAGCACAAGAGAAGCGAGCACTCTGTAAAGCTAGAGTTGCAAATGTTGCAACAGTGGTGCCCACACATGTCTGCCTGACATGTGGCAGAACACTCCGTGCCCGTATCGACCTTATCAGCCACCTGCGGACACACCGTGGACAGCTCACAACCCATTAGATGTCAAGGTCCTCATCAAAAATGAGGACAAACATCAGCAATAGCAGACATTCATTGGATTGAAATTCCCACTGTGGATGCTGATTGGTATATTGGAATTCTAGTGCTCCCTGGGAGGCTGGGGCTTGGAGCCTCAAGGGGTCTCGCAATCACTGCCTCTGAAATTTGCTTCCAATTGCTTCGGCATTACAGGAGACATGACTAGCATGTTGCACTTAATGCTGGCCGACAAGGTATGCCCTACAGTCCAGATGCTCAAAGCCAACTGAGGTTTACTTAAGAAGACACATACCTGTAGTTGCTGCCAAAGGTGCTTCTATCTAGTATTGACTCAGGGGATGAATACTTTTGCAACAAGTGCCAGTTTGGCTTTATTAACTTGTGTACCCTGTTAAAAAATTGTTTGCACCTTCACAACTTGTGTTCATCAAGTGGTAAGAATGCCAATTTAATCCATTACAATTCCAGGTTGAAATACAACAAAATATAGAAAAGTCAAAAGAAGGTGGCAAGACTGCTATAATTCAACCTGAGGTGACTGAGATAGCAAAGAGGTGAAACTTCCAGAGAGGTCCAGGCAAAACAAGGAAGCTGGTTTCTTAAATATTCAATTCAGATAAGTCACAGTCATCTTCTCAACATTGTCACCTTTCTCTTTCCCCCACAGATATTTTTCTTATAGCAGTGGCAGATCCCTGCCTGAACCCCAGCTTTTACTGTTTCCTCTAGAAGATCTGACAAGTAGTTCAGAATTTAGAATCTTCTCCAGGATTCACTAGTCTAGCAATAGCAAAGATTTCAGGTAATCTCCATTAAACAGTAATTCAGGGATATCCCAATGAAGTTAGAACTATAGGTGCCTATTTCCACTTTTCTTTTACAGCTTTGAAAAAGTTTCCCACCCTCATGCCAAAGCATCATTTATTTTATCCAATGACCCCCAATCTCAGAACCTGTAGATCTCACCAATTATTGCTGAGAGTAGAGACCAATTTTCTGAAAGCAATATTATTTAAACAGATAAAAGAATAAAATCCAGGCTTACCTCTTCTCTGCTACTATAGTTTTAATGGTGAAAACTGACAGCAAAACAGTGCAGTTTCCACAGGGAGATAAATAGGAAAGGGCTTAGCAAGGTTTTCTTTTGCCAACAGGAAGCCAAAGTCCTTGGTAGCCAGAATCAACAATATAAAATGGGAGGAGCTGCAGAAGGAAAACTGGGTTGAAAGCCAGTGAACAAATAATGTCCTGAACTGAATTACTTTGGTCTGTGTGCATGCACACATGCATGTGTGTTTGTGTGTGAGAGAGAGACGCACAGAGAAAGGATTAAACAAGATAGAACAGAAGACTGAGGGGGGACATGATATCCCTCTATACGTCCATCAAAGGCTGTCACAAAGAAGAGGATAAAGATCCCT